GACTTTTCCCCACCTTTTATGTAGTTTCAAAACAAATAAAAACTAGAGCCTGGTCGAAAACTAGAGCTTAGATACTTTTATTAATATTTGAATATCGATGTTGAAATTGTGTATAAATTTGTGGAGTTTAAATGTATACTGTAAAAATCTCAATATCCCTAACCGAATAACTGAGGATTTTTCGGTTGATTCAGTTTCGGATATCCAACGAATTTCCTGGAACCGACAACCGTATTTACAAACATTAAACCATTATTTAATTCTTAAATTAATATTTTAGTCAATCTATGCCGGTGTTCCATTGATCTGTATTCCAGATGGGGGTGATCAGTTTTACCTTTCCTCCCTTGTTGAACACCTAGGTATTGGATTCTTTGTATTACCGAACCAGAATTTTAATGAACAAATTGAAAATGCTCTTGAAAATATAATTGGGGAAAGGTAATACTGAATGATTATTTGAATTATTTAAATATTTATTTTAGAAATATTTATCAAAATATTTATCAAGAAGCTGTAAACAAACTGAGAACTAAAATACTTGATGATTTCTACGACAACAACAATCCATGGATAAAAAGCATTTTTATTGGAAAGATTGAAGAATATATTGGGGAATGATTGGGTGATGAAGAAGAGATTGTTGGGATTTTTGGGGATTTTTTTGTGGATTTTTAGGGGTTTTTTTTAAAATTGTATGGGGATTTATTTATTTTTAATTTTGGATTTTTTGGGGGGTTTTTTTTAAATGGATGGGGATTTTTTAAAAAATGGATGGCTCTGATGATGAAGTGATTGTTGGGATTAAAGGGTTTTTTGGTGATTTTTTAAATCGGATTGGGTATTATTTAAATTGGGATTTTTAAAATGTTTTACTGAGCCGGGGTAAACCAAGGTTTAGGGTTCCCCTTTTTTCTTCACCAATTCTTTCCTTTATATGTACAGAATGGTCAGACTTTCTCTTTTTCTCAATTTTACTCCAATTTTACTCTGTGTTATGTTCAATGAGAGACATTAATAAAGAAAAGTTTATTTTTAACTAGTCTGTGCCAGCTTCAGCAAGTGAGGAAGGGAGAGAGTCTAAACATTCTGTACATATAAAGGAAGAATTTGGGGAATTAAGAAACTGTTGGGATTTTTTAGATTTATTTAAATATGTTGGGGATTTATTTTGGGGGTTTTATTTAAATTTGGGTATTTTTTTAAGTTTATTTAAAAACATTTATTTAAATGACAGAGTTGCCGACTTTCATTAAAAACAATTTTGAGGATAAATAGATTGGAAAAATTATAATTGTCCTATTAAGAATTTAATTTTCGTGAAAAATTGGGTTTTGACTAAGTTATTCATTTTGTGGGATTTATTTAAATTGGAGATTTTTATACTATTATGATTTTTTAAAATTTGATTTAAAAACATTTATTTTGATAACAAAGTTGCCGTCTTATATCTAAAATAATATCTTGGGGATTAATTGATAGTAAATGTTATAATTATTATTTATTATTAATATAATAGTAAAAATAAATTTTCCAATTAGGACCTTAATTTTCGCGAAAAAAAATTTAAAAAAATTCAAATATGACGGCAACTCTGTGTATTTTTAATACATATATTCAATTAGATTTAAAAAAACGTCCAATTTTTGATGGATATTTGGGATTTATTTTAACTTTGGATAAAAAAGTTTTTTTTGTAAACGGTTATTAATTAAATTCATTTTTTCGACCTTGTGAAACTATTTGCCTAATATCAAAAAGTTTAATTAAATGTTCCTGGCAATGTCTTTTATTGCTTAGACCATTGAAGTTTCTTTAACAGCTCAGCATATTTTTTTCAAAGAAAAAATTTTCGCTCTCTTTTTTCTTTGATAAATACATTAGAGTCGACGGAGGCTCTAAAAAGCTCTCCTCCCGGCGGAGGCTCTCATTAAAGCCAGGACGGAGGGGTTGGTCGGTATTATTTCGATAAATATCGAAACCGAATATTGAAAAAATATCGTATCGAGCCGGGCTCTAATAAATAATTTAACACAATTTTTAAGTGATCTAAATTCTGATTCTGTATTTAAAATTTTATATTTGATTTTAAAATTTTGAGAAAATTTTCAAAGTTAAATAAAATCCGCCAAACTTAAGCATAAAACGGACACAAATAACAAAGTTGTGTGGACGGAATATCCCAAGACTCCTCTAAAATAATCACTCGCCCTATTAATTACCCCCTCCTGACAGAGAGTGAAGCAATAATTACCCTGATAATTATTATAACATATACGGTATTTTAGGTATCTCTGTTCTATGACTATAAATAGTTGTAGCCTTTTATAAATAGTTGTAGCCTTATATGTAGCCTTGTATTCGGCTACATATAAGGCAATAGCATTATATTCGGGCCCTATCTATAAAACATAGATTTTTGATAATTTTAATCAATTTTTTGAATAAAAATCTTTACGCCGATGCTTGCCACATTTTTAAATATGCGTGCCTGTAGAGATGGATTTAAAATAGTAGCTGATCATTCATTATAGATTTTAAATTGGCTATTCATTTTAGATAATTTAACGAATATTTTTATTTAATTTTGATTTTTTTAATTATAATCATTTAAAAATGAATTTTAATTAAATTTAAAATAAGAAATTTGTAGAGAAAAATGTATTTAAAATTAATTTTTTGGATTTTATTTTTATTAATTTTTGTCAACCTTTCCATTGAGAGAAATTGTAAATGTCCAAAAACTGGGGGAAAAAGTTTGTACAAACGTCGATTTAAAAGAGATAACTGTTGTAAGAGAGGAGGTACTGGCGGTCATGGAGGAACTTGGAGTTCTGGAAGTGGAAGTGAGGGTTCTGAATCAGAGGAAACTGAAAGACAAAGTCATGGAAAAGTCACTCAAGGAGGATTTGGTGAAATATTTCAAGGAGGAGGCGGAGGATATGGAGAACAATATTATGGAGAACCGAGTCAAGGTGTAACATCCAATGTGTCAGAATTTGGAGGAGGTTATACTGGAGCCGGGGTAAACCAAGGTTTAGGGTTCGCCTTTTTTCCTATGCAGTTCTTTCCTTTATATGTACAGAATGGTCAGACTTTCTCCTTTTCTCAATTTTACTCTAAATATCTCTGTCATGTTCAATGAGAGACATTAATAAAGAAGAGATTATTTTTAACTAGTCTGTGCCTTCTCCAGCAAGTGAGGAAGGGAGAGTTTGAACATTCTGTACATATAAAGGAAGAATTTGGGGAATTAAGAAACTGTTGGGATTTTTTAGATTTATTTAAATATGTTGGGGATTTATTTTGGGGGTTTTATTTAAATTTGGGTATTTTTTTAAGTTTATTTAAAAACATTTATTTAAATGACAGAGTTGCCGACTTTCATTAAAAACAATTTTGAGGATAAATAGATTGGAAAAATTATAATTGTCCTATTAAGAATTTAATTTTCGTGAAAAATTGGGTTTTGACTAAGTTATTCATTTTGTGGGATTTATTTAAATTGGAGATTTTTATACTATTATGATTTTTTAAAATTTGATTTAAAAACATTTATTTTGATAACAAAGTTGCCGTCTTATATCTAAAATAATATCTTGGGGATTAATTGATAGTAAATGTTATAATTATTATTTATTATTAATATAATAGTAAAAATAAATTTTCCAATTAGGACCTTAATTTTCGCGAAAAAAAATTTAAAAAAATTCAAATATGACGGCAACTCTGTGTATTTTTAATACATATATTCAATTAGATTTAAAAAAACGTCCAATTTTTGATGGATATTTGGGATTTATTTTAACTTTGGATAAAAAAGTTTTTTTGTAAACGGTTATTAATTAAATTCATTTTTTCGACCTTGTGAAACTATTTGCCTAATATCAAAAAGTTTAATTAAATGTTCCTGGCAATGTCTTTTATTGCTTAGACCATTGAAGTTTCTTTAACAGCTCAGCATATTTTTTTCAAAGAAAAAATTTTCGCTCTCTTTTTTCTTTGATAAATACATTAGAGTCGACGGAGGCTCTAAAAAGCTCTCCTCCCGGCGGAGGCTCTCATTAAAGCCAGGACGGAGGGGTTGGTCGGTATTATTTCGATAAATATCGAAACCGAATATTGAAAAAATATCGTATCGAGCCGGGCTCTAATAAATAATTTAACACAATTTTTAAGTGATCTAAATTCTGATTCTGTATTTAAAATTTTATATTTGATTTTAAAATTTTGAGAAAATTTTCAAAGTTAAATAAAATCCGCCAAACTTAAGCATAAAACGGACACAAATAACAAAGTTGTGTGGACGGAATATCCCAAGACTCCTCTAAAATAATCACTCGCCCTATTAATTACCCCCTCCTGACAGAGAGTGAAGCAATAATTACCCTGATAATTATTATAACATATACGGTATTTTAGGTATCTCTGTTCTATGACTATAAATAGTTGTAGCCTTTTATAAATAGTTGTAGCCTTATATGTAGCCTTGTATTCGGCTACATATAAGGCAATAGCATTATATTCGGGCCCTATCTATAAAACATAGATTTTTGATAATTTTAATCAATTTTTTGAATAAAAATCTTTACGCCGATGCTTGCCACATTTTTAAATATGCGTGCCTGTAGAGATGGATTTAAAATAGTAGCTGATCATTCATTATAGATTTTAAATTGGCTATTCATTTTAGATAATTTAACGAATATTTTTATTTAATTTTGATTTTTTTAATTATAATCATTTAAAAATGAATTTTAATTAAATTTAAAATAAGAAATTTGTAGAGAAAAATGTATTTAAAATTAATTTTTTGGATTTTATTTTTATTAATTTTTGTCAACCTTTCCATTGAGAGAAATTGTAAATGTCCAAAAACTGGGGGAAAAAGTTTGTACAAACGTCGATTTAAAAGAGATAACTGTTGTAAGAGAGGAGGTACTGGCGGTCATGGAGGAACTTGGAGTTCTGGAAGTGGAAGTGAGGGTTCTGAATCAGAGGAAACTGAAAGACAAAGTCATGGAAAAGTCACTCAAGGAGGATTTGGTGAAATATTTCAAGGAGGAGGCGGAGGATATGGAGAACAATATTATGGAGAACCGAGTCAAGGTGTAACATCCAATGTGTCAGAATTTGGAGGAGGTTATACTGGAAGCTATTTTGGAGAAAGTTCAAGAGGTGCTCATGAAGAAGGAAAAAAGAAAATTTTATATATTTGCGACAACTATTTCTACTCTCACTTGGAATTAAATGTAAATTATATTTGTACATAAATAACTGCCTCCCTACAGTTTTAAAAGAATGAACCAAAACTTTTATTTATTTAAATATTTTCAGACATTGTTGGCTAACATTTTATCCGACAAACACATTGTGGTAAGTGATTACGTGATAGGACGGGGAATCGGGGACGTGGCCTAGAAGTTCTGGAATTAGAGCCTATAATTCGTAAGTCGATTGGTTTTTGGACACAGGAATTTTGGTCACCAAAATTTCTTGCAACAAAGTGATTACGAGACCGGTGCTCATGAAGAAGGAAAAAAGAAATTATTTCAAAGTATTATTTCAGCATATGCTTCTTTATAAAAAAGAAAATGGAAAGGAAGTACCACCGCATCGTTTTGAAGTTATAGAAGTACCAATAGATGAAAAAAATTTGATTCAAAGTATTATTAGGAATCATGGACTAGAATATGCATATCAAGATTATAAAAGAGGATTTAAATATTGGAATGTGGGAATTTATTATGGTAATACTAATTTAATATTGTAATATTTAAAAGTAAAGCTGGCCTCCATATACTTGTACTGATTAAAAGGGTTGGTCTCCGACGGGGGGGGGGTGAGGGCCACGGGGAAAGGTTTTCGGGGAGGCAGCGCCAGGGGGGGAGACGGGGGCGGGGAATTTTCAAAAAATCTCTCAACTTCCCCGACTTTCGAGGACAGGGACGGGGACCAACCCTACTGATTAATGATCGGTAGACGTTTAGTTTTAAAATTATTAATAAATATTTTTGAATTCTGATTGATTGGAAGTTTCAGAAATTTTTAAGGTTCATAGTAAAAAAATTTTCCTTGTTAATAAAATATTTATATAATAAAATATAATATTTTTTTTATTAAAGAAATAATCACGAATGGGCAACTTTTAAACTGGCTTAAACAGCAAAACTATTCTGCTGGAATTGCTGAGTTTAGTGTGATGGCCGGATCTTTTGCTGTCTTTGATGTTTTAGGGATTCAAAATACTTTTAATGTTTCTGCTTCAGTGTTCTATCCAGGAAATCTCCAATTTCTTGAATTTTATGAAAATCCGATTGATTTTACTCGACTTGCAATTCCCGGTTATATTAAAATTATTTTTTAAATTTTTTATTGGGTTTCTTTTACTCACTTAAAGCTCGTTGTATTAACCAGGGCCGGAAAAGATTGGTTAAAAAATGATTCTAAATAGTGTTTAATTCTTTACTACACCCCTAAATATCGAATCATGCTTGATTAGGCAAAGTTGTATCATTATGCTTTTAATCCTTCACATAAGGCCTTCGATTCAGACATAATAAGAATAAATTTTTTTCTCCTATATAAGTACCTCATTTATACGACACTCCCACAGTACATTAAATTTTTGGTAATATTGAATCTGGCAGCCCCCCATTCTTCAGATTTATATCAAAAAACTTGGTGAGGAAAAAATCGGTATTCAATATTACCAAAATTTTCGACATGTGATTTAGTAAATTTGTTATAATTTACTACATATGTATAATAAAAATATTTAAAGAATATCAATATACTGTGCCAGGAGCGTGGACCCATGGTGGTCATTCTACAAATTATGAAGCTATAAATCAACGAGTTTTAACAGAATTAACACAAATTTCTAATTCAAATTATAGAGATTTGATATATGAAGAGATTATTGAAGAAGACCAAATACCAAACTTGGTTGAATTATTTCAAAAAATTAACTATCATTTTATGAATCAACACAAATTTTTAAATTTTGAACAATTTCCTGAACATGAAAAAATTATTTATATTGGTGGTATTGTTGTTGAGGAGAGTAAACGAAGTTTAACTAAAAGAGAAAAAACAGAGCCTTCACTGGGAGAAGTAAAATTTATTTTAAATATAATAATAGCTCTCATTGTAGCCTCTGAATAGAAATTGTTCCCCTTAAGGCAGGGAAGAAAGATCCCTTCATTTTTATTTATCCAAAGTCTTGGCTCAGAAAAGGATGTATAATTAAATAATACTTTTTTATACTATGTAGCCTCTCTTATTTGAGAGAGGGTAATTATTCGAGCATTTACGGTATAAATAATATATTTATAATTATTTAAAGCGTGATTGTGTTGTCTATGTCTCCTTTGGTACAATAAACATTGAAGGGATGGATGTTGATAATCTTAAAATAATGCTTGACATTTTTAAAAATTATGAACATTGCTTATTTAAAGTCACATTGGGAAAGGATCATCATTTAAAAAGACATTATCGCAAGACAAATATCTCTTTTAAAGGATTTGTTGATCAACAAGAAATATTGGGTAATTAAATGATCTTTAATGCAGATTTTAATTTATTTTATGTTTCAGCTAAAGAAAATACAAAATTATTTATTTCCCATTGTGGAATAAATAGCTTGACTGAGGTAACTTATTTAATAAAGTCTTAAAATAAATCTTAAAATAATGCTTGACATTTAAAAAAAAGTTTAGTTTCAAAACAAATAAAAACTAGAGCCTGGTCGAAAACTAGAGCTTCGATACTTTCATTAATATTTGATTATCGATGTTGAAATTGTGGATTTTGTGTAAATTTGTGGATTTAATGCATACTTTAAAAATCTCAATATCCCTAACCGAATAACTGAGGATTTTTCGGTTGGTTCGGTTTCGGATATCCAAAGTATTTGAACGAACCGACAACCCTATTTACAAACATTAAACCATTATTTAATTCTTATTTACTTAATATTTTAGTCAATCTATGCCGGTGTTCCATTGATCTGTATTCCAGATGGGGGTGATCAGTTTTACCTTTCCTCCCTTGTTGAACACCTAGGTATTGGATTCTTTGTATTATCAAAACAGAATTTTAATGAACAAATTGGAAAAGCTCTTGAAGATATAATTGGGGAAAGGTAATACTGAATGATTATTTAAATTATTTAAATAAATCATTTATTTTAGAAATATTTATCAAAATATTTATCAAGAAGCTGTAAACAAACTGAGAACTAAAATACTTGATGATTTCTACGACAACAACAATCCATGGATAAAAAGCATTTTTATTGGAAAGATTGAAGAATATATTGGGGAATGATTGGGTGATGAAGAAGAGATTGTTGGGATTTTTGGGGATTTTTTTGTGGATTTTTAGGGGTTTTTTTTAAAATTGTATGGGGATTTATTTATTTTTAATTTTGGATTTTTTGGGGGGTTTTTTTTAAATGGATGGGGATTTTTTAAAAAATGGATGGCTCTGATGATGAAGTGATTGTTGGGATTAAAGGGTTTTTTGGTGATTTTTTAAATCGGATTGGGTATTATTTAAATTGGGATTTTTAAAATGTTTTACTGAGCCGGGGTAAACCAAGGTTTAGGGTTCCCCTTTTTTCTTCACCAATTCTTTCCTTTATATGTACAGAATGGTCAGACTTTTTCCCTTCTCAATTTTACTCTAAATATCTCTGTCATGTTCAATGAGAGACATTAATAAAGAAAAGTTTATTTTTAACTAGTCTGTGCCTTCTCCAGCAAGTGAGGAAGGGAGAGTTTGAACATTCTGTACATATAAAGGAAGAATTTGGGGAATTAAGAAACTGTTGGGATTTTTTAGATTTATTTAAATATGTTGGGGATTTATTTTGGGGGTTTATTTAAATTTGGGTATTTTTTTAAGTTTATTTAAAAACATTTATTTAAATGACAGAGTTGCCGACTTTCATTAAAAACAATTTTGAGGATAAATAGATTGGAAAAATTATAATTGTCCTATTAAGAATTTAATTTTCGTGAAAAATTGGGTTTTGACTAAGTTATTCATTTTGTGGGATTTATTTAAATTGGAGATTTTTATACTATTATGATTTTTTAAAATTTGATTTAAAAACATTTATTTTGATAACAAAGTTGCCGTCTTATATCTAAAATAATATCTTGGGGATTAATTGATAGTAAATGTTATAATTATTATTTATTATTAATATAATAGTAAAAATAAATTTTCCAATTAGGACCTTAATTTTCGCGAAAAAAAATTTAAAAAAATTCAAATATGACGGCAACTCTGTGTATTTTTAATACATATATTCAATTAGATTTAAAAAAACGTCCAATTTTTGATGGATATTTGGGATTTATTTTAACTTTGGATAAAAAAGTTTTTTTTGTAAACGGTTATTAATTAAATTCATTTTTTCGACCTTGTGAAACTATTTGCCTAATATCAAAAAGTTTAATTAAATGTTCCTGGCAATGTCTTTTATTGCTTAGACCATTGAAGTTTCTTTAACAGCTCAGCATATTTTTTTCAAAGAAAAAATTTTCGCTCTCTTTTTTCTTTGATAAATACATTAGAGTCGACGGAGGCTCTAAAAAGCTCTCCTCCCGGCGGAGGCTCTCATTAAAGCCAGGACGGAGGGGTTGGTCGGTATTATTTCGATAAATATCGAAACCGAATATTGAAAAAATATCGTATCGAGCCGGGCTCTAATAAATAATTTAACACAATTTTTAAGTGATCTAGATTCTGATTCTGTATTTAAAATTTTAGATTTGATTTTAAAATTTTGAGAAAATTTTCAAAGTTAAATAAAATCCGCCAAACTTAAGCATAAAACGGACACAAATAACAAAGTTGTGTGGACGGAATATCCCAAGACTCTCTCTAAAATAATCACTCGCCCTATTAATTACCCCCTCCTGACAGAGAGTGAAGCAATAATTACCCTGATAATTATTATAACATATACGGTATTTTAGGTATCTCTGTTCTATGACTATAAATAGTTGTAGCCTTTTATAAATAGTTGTAGCCTTATATGTAGCCTTGTATTCGGCTACATATAAGGCAATAGCATTATATTCGGGCCCTATCTATAAAACATAGATTTTTGATAATTTTAATCAATTTTTTGAATAAAAATTTTAATGCCGATGCTTGCCACATTTTTAAATATGCGTGCATGTAGAGATGCATTTAAAATAGTAGCTGATCATTCATTATAGATTTTAAATTGGCTATTCATTTTAAATAATTTAACGAATATTTTTATTTAATTGTGATTTTTTAATTATAATAATTTAAAAATTAATTTTTATTTTAATTTAAAATAAGAAATTTGTAGAGGAAATGTATTTAAAATTAATTTTTTGGATTTTATTTTTATTAATTTTTGTCAATATTTCCATCGAGAGAAATTGTAAATGTCCAAAAACTAAAGGAAAAAGTTTGTACAAACGTCGATTTAAAAGAGGTAATTGTTGTAAGGGAGGAGGTACTGGCGGTCATGGAGGAACTTTGAGCTCTGGAAGTGAAAGTGAGGGTTATGAAACAGAGGAAACTGAAAGACAAAGTCATGGAGAAGTCACTCAAGGAGGATTTGGTGAAATATTTCAAGGAGGAGGCGGAGGATATGGAGAACAATATTATGGAGAACCGAGTCAAGGTGTAACATCCAATGTGTCAGAATTTGGAGGAGGTTATACTGGAAGCTATTTTGGAGAAAGTTCAGGAGGTGCTCATGAAGAAGGAAAAAAG